TAAGTTTATTATGAACTAATGGCTCATAGTTGCAGCTGCTTTTCTTTTTAATCTCATAACTATGCAGAAGGAGTAACAGTGATAAGAATGTTATCATGTATTTAATGCCAGGGCAATACTAGCCAGGTTATTACCAGCAAGACTGTTAGGATATAAGTTAAGTGGGGTAAGCATGCAGAGTGATTAATACAGCAGTCAGGAGAGCTGAGATCAATAACATTTAGATGAAAAAAAGATTTTTTTTCCTAACTGCTGTGAGCCTGATTCTCCACAATCTAGCATTTTTCATCTGTGTGAAATGGCAGTAAAGTGAATGTAGAATTCTGATCTGACAGGATTCTACTTTTGGCTTATGCTCAGATGTGAGTGACATAAATGATAGCATCAGAGACAAGCCTGTCTATCTTTAAGTATAGAAAGTAAATAAGTAAGTGTAGAATTACTTGTTTATATCTTGCAAAATAGCATATTTACTGAGGGGTACTTTGTATTAATTACAGCATTTTATATTGTGTCAGCATTAGTATTCCAACAAGATGAAGACCTCTTTGCACTGCAAATTGTATGCAGATTTTTCAGCAACTGCATCATGGTACCTGGTATCTGATGCAATGTTATCTGATGATTTTGAAACAGTTTTACTGACTGAGCAACAGCTTCTCTTTGGAACATAAGCCTACTCATATTAACCTCTAAGCTGGATATAGTTAACTTCTGACTTTATGGGGCATTGGCATCTTTTGCTGTTCGCATTTACTGTACATTGTTATGTTCTTGTACGATGCTGTTTCCCTATGCGTGGAAGTCACTAGGAAACAAAAATGCATAACATCTTGCAGAACTTAGCCTGTAATTTTATGCTCCACAATGAGCATACCTGCAATAATCTGACAAAATGAAAGCAGCACATGTCATATCAGCTCCAAATATCCTGTCTCCTCTACAGCAGCTGCCTTGAAAGAGATCTGACATAATGGTGTTATATCAACAGAGCTACAAATCTCAGATACTAGTGATTTCAGTACCAAGGGAGAGAACACTGTAGCAAATGGAGGTCATTCAATATCCTCTAGCACTTTGGACAAACGTGGCATTTTGGACTGTCCCTACTAATGGCAGAATACAGTGCTGATGGTAAAAATTGCTGTTGCAAAAATACTTGTGCAGGTAATCTGCTCCTAACAGCAAAGTGTCGGTTCAGACAGGCCTGGTTATTTTGATGCCTTGCAGAAGCAATAATGTTTCTTGGAAGCAAAAGGCATACTCTAGGTTTTAGTGGTGAAAGCAGAAGTCTCTGAGGTATCAGAAATGAAATATTTTTTTTAGATATTTACCTTCTTTAGGAATACAGAATTGCTTTCTAGAACTTTGTCTCCTCAGTATCTTATGTGACAGGTCATGCCAAGAAAAGGACCTGCCATGGAGTAGCTGCAGTGTTCTGGTAGGAACATAGGAGTATCAGAATCCACACAGCAAGCACTCATGTCTCTCTCTATGATCCTCCAGTGGGAGAACTGCAATGAGAGGTACAATAGTTTTACTGAAATAAGGATGCTGAGAGAATTCTGCTATTTTCAGTGTCATGAAGTGGCACATATGAAGAATCCTTTTCCTTGGCAACAATTCCTGAGCCATAAGGTTGAACCTGTTTACCCAGGCACAGTGCCATTCTGTCAGATGGGCATTGATACACCAATTGTAGAGACCCTGTGTTGTATGTGCATCAGGTGTAAGTGTCCCAGATAGGATTCCCAGCAAGGACTGTCCATATGTCTGTTCATTCTAATTTTATATTCCCTTGTTCCATTACTAATCCAGGTATGGGTCTGATTATGTTTCAAAAATAGAGAACAGCTTTTTCCTCCTTTAATAAGACCTCTTGCCCGCTTATGTAACATAGGTTGGAGTAATGGTTTAGGAGAAGTTTTTGAAAGACAAACTTTCCGCCCTGGCCTTGCCAGACCCTCTCCTTCTGCATTCAGAGAAATGAGAGCTTTATAAATATTTTTTGTTTCTAAGCAAAGTCCCTGTAGGATCCATCAGAGTAAATCTTTGGCACCAAGCTAGATTTCTTATGCACAGCAGAGTGGAAATCTGTGTTCAGTTACTCTCTGCACTACTTTGCAGGATGTTTTGCCTGAACTGGTATAAAACCTTGAGGTTTCAGGGTTCAAGAAAGAACATGGCATTGTCTCCCTAGCTGCTCTCTCACAACCACCACCTGCCTTTCCTCTTGATTTCCTCAGTGGCCTCAGTTTTCTGTATATCAGCAGTAGTCCCAGCATAGCTCTTGCCCTATCTTTGGTATTTTATATGACTATGGTGCAACATCTTGTTTTGCTTATTGTAGTCCTTTTTATGTGTTTCATTTTCATGTGTATTGAAGAGATAAGGATCTGATATCTGTAGAATGTGCAGAGTGATGCCAGGTCATGCCTTTCTCTGACAGCTGAAGCAATTGCACAGGCCTCCAATTATTTAATACAAAGCTTTGATAATCTAATTTTCTTGCTCATCTCATGCAGTCTGTTCCATACTAATGCAGAAGATTTGAAAAAATATGACAAAAATCTTAGTTTTCCTGATATTCCTTTTGGAATTAGCTTTACTAAATGTTGGGGCAACACACTGAAGTAGAGCTGCAGGGCCAGCGTCTTTTGGTTTTGGTTTAATTTAAAGTCTGAATAATGGATTTTATTTTTCTACTGGACCTGGCATGTATCATTAAGATTGGCCATAGACTGGGCAAAAGCAATCCATTTTTCGACTGTATATGTTTCTGCGAATGCTGACAGTCAGTAGTTGCATTTGAAAATACCCATCCTCAAAGTCTTCTTAACTTGCCTCTATCTACATCTATACTTTTTCACCCACTTTTAAAATGCAGTTGCCTCTGGTTGGCTGAACTAGCTTTAGCTATGTATGTTACTAAAAGATACACTTTAATGCAATGTAATTTTCCAGGAAATTTTAAGTAGAAGGTGATTGCTGTGTTATGTTTGGACTCACTTATTAGTATCCTCTCCTATTGCTGAAGCATCCTGAAATCTTTAAGGACTCCTGTTGCAGAGCATAGAGGCATAAAAGCAACCTGCATAAACCAGTGTTGAGATCCAAAAAATTGCAGTTCAGATTGGATATGAATATTTTGCTGCTCAGATATTTTCATTGTGAGTTGGGATTTGCCATTTTCCAAATGTTTCTATAGTGCAGTCCAGCACAACAAAGCCATACACAGTTTGAGTTCTTTAGGCAATGATATAAAAGCTAAAGTAATGAACATAATGTCATCTGCAAACTGTAAAGAATGCACGGTGGAAGAGTCCTGTTTAACAGGACACCATTCAATTAATGGAACGAGCATTAGTACTGCGAGGAGAAATCTTCATCCACACATACCCCATTCCACTAGTGTGTCTGGATTTCTGGTAAAGCAGAGTGTTGGTCCTTCTGTCAGTATGTTTCATTAACTTCAGCTTTACTTTTGTTTCTGCAATTTACAGTCAGTTAAATCATAAATATTGTTTTGTAACTGATAGAACAGTATGTAATGGTCCTCATCTTGTATCCTTTTTAGTCTAAGTGTCACATCCTTTTTGTAATTTCTAATGACAATAACAATTTTTATTATACTGCTGGAACTTTTCCCGGGGTAGTTGTGTCTTTTGTATATAATATGTGATCTAGAAATGAAACTGCAGCAGAAAGCTGCTAAATCCAGCATCTTCTGTAGCTGTGTATTTATGTTAAAAAATTCTTGGACCTAGTGCAAGAGATTGAAAGTATCTTATAAAACAAAACCAACCCAAAATTTAAATTAACGATACACAAGGTAGCTGAGCTTTCTCTAGCTCAGTGAAAGAGAGTGGCTGTAAATATGAAAATATCAAGCCAAATACAAGTGAAGGCAGAACATATTTGCATATCAGCTCTGATCTGCTATCTTATGGAAAGCAACTGGATGTTTGTCTTGCTGTGTGTCTGTATGCCCTTTGAAAGTATTTCCAATTACAGAGATTTTACATTTTGACCACAAAATTTGCTCCAGTTCTGATTTCCTTCAAGACAAAGAGAAGTAATGACCTTATGAGTAGCAAACTGACCAATCCAGATCTTTCTGCTCTTGGCTTTTCAGGAATTTAGGGAAGTCATTTAAGCAACAGTCTCATCAGGGACAAACCTTATCCAAAGCTTACACGTTTATTGTTACAGCCTTCAGAATGTTGGTTAAAGAAACATTTCACTCTGTAACTGCACTTTGCTAACAAATGCAACTGTAATAGAGTTGCATGTCACATATGCGTAACAGAAGCAAGTATCTTGCCTAGCTACCAGAATGACTCTGGTGGGGGAGAAGTAGCCGGTGCTACGTTGCAGAGAAGAGAGCAGAAAAAACCTTACATTACTGCCTCAGCATTATAGCATAAGCCAGTATTTGTGAAGCCATGGGCTATGCATTTCTGTTCTGGTTTTGGAACTCAGAGCACATGGGATGACAGAAGAAGCAGTTATAGACACAGCTATTGCCAGTGGTTCACTCTGTCTGTCACTTCTTCCCATTCAAAGTAAGAGAATATTGGAGAACTTGGGGAAAAGAAGGAGAGAAACTGCTTTCCAGTCCACCAACTTGGACTCAGACATTGACTACTGTATATGAGTGCACTCTTTTTCTCTGCATTTTTATCCCATACTGAATTTATGGGTGGCACAGAAACCATCAGTAGTGCTATAGATCCTCATTTTCTACCTGAATTTTTAAGTTTAGTGATCAGTTCTTCAGAAGTTGAGTATGTTTTACTGTATGAGAAACAGAGACAAGGTCCTCTAAGATACAGATATGTAGCATAATTCAACAAATGGAAGAAACATCACTTGGGAACTTGAGGACTGGCTCTTCTGTAGAAGATGATACCAGTTTAGAGTTTCCAAAGCTTATGTAATGAAATATTTCCTATATGCCTTGCCTTAATTTTATGGTTTCTTTGATTATTTCTTTCTAGCTCAACAAAATTCACCAAAAATCCATGAAGGCTGGTGGGCTTATAAGGAGGTGGTCCAGGGAAGCTTTGTTCCAGGTAAGTGTAGTTTAAAAATCTTAGTTGTATTAAATATTTCTTCACTGGAATTAATATAGTTGGATTTGGCGGAGATTTTTTGGGTTTGGATTTTTTTTATCCATTGCAAAGATTTGAAGTACACAAGTATTCAGCATCACATTATAGCGAAGCGTAGAAAGGTTTTTGTCCATACATCATCCAAAGACCATGGCTGTTTTCTGGGAAGGAAATAGTTTTGATGACATCCCTGGTTTCTCTCAGTAAACCTAAGTGATGCTACTTTGTGAATGTGTGTGTTCTGTGTATAGAAAAGTGAAAGGGAGGACTGAAAAGCAGTATTGTTAACTGGTTGAATTTACTTATCTGATACAGCACTTTTAGATAATCCCATTTCTAGAAATTTAAGAGTATATTAGGAAAGGAACCTAATTGAAACGTGAACCTAACATGCAAGTTTCACTGATTTTTGTTTTAGAAACAAGAAACAGTGAATGAAAAAAATGAAAAAAATACGAAATCCTAAGTTGGCTTCAGTAAGATGTAGTAAATGGTAAATAATCAGTAGGCAGTTAAAGGGATCTAAATATGCAACACTAGGCGAATTTGATAGGCAAACGTGAAATTCAGGCTAGCAATAGCCTGGTCAGTATTGGTAGAACTCCTCCAAAACGTGTGTATTGGTCGTCCTAATGCTATATACTCAAATACCATGTCATCAAAGTAGGCCTTAGCATGTTCTTTTTAGCTCTGGATCTCTCTAACACAATTCACGATTCAAGCTGCCTGAGACACTAGTAGTTCTTAGATTGACAGTTTTTTACTTTGTTTTTGACTTGCATTTGACACCTGATCTCTTTGTGCTCTCTTTCTGTAAATTATTTTATTCATTCTTTCAAACAAAATTATTTTGTTGGGTCTTCACTGTTCCGTTTGACTAGATGTTTCCACTTAGGAGTCAGGGAACTTCAGCAACCTCCATTTTCTGTTTAGTTGTGGAGCTGATTTGACAGTACATTCCTCATTCAGTATACACAGAGACGTTCAGTGATTACTTTAAGTATGTTTTCAGTGCAATTGAGATGAATATGCATTAATTTATGTATATTAGCTATATATTGTAAGCTAAAATAGTTCTTCAAGTTCTATCATGAATGCACCATGAAAATTGCTACATGATCTTTATTTCCTCAAACTACTAGAAAATATTACTTGGACATTGTGTGAGTTTTTCCTAAGAATCTGTAGATTTTATGTATCATCAGGTATTTTCACTGTTGTGACAACAGTTATAATCTGACAGTCATTCACAATATCCAAAATGTTGATTATCTCGATAGGAATACTAGTGCAAATGAGATGAAATATTTCAACCCACAAGTTTCTGGCACTGAAATTTTTGTGAAAAGCACGTATGAAAATCAAAATCTACAAGCCTGGAGCTTAATTATATATTGATGTAGCATAAAGTAGCTTTTAAGATTTACTTGAGATTGATTTGGGCTGTCAAAGACACTGCAGTGTATTGTTACACATGTTTAGTTCCTAATGTTGATAGCAGGGGAAAAAACCTGGAGAACGTAATCATGTGCTTTCAGGAAGTTTCAGCCTTCCTGATTTGTATGACCCAGGTGGATGCCCAGCAGAAGGAGAATGAATATTTGCTTATCAGACCTTCTAATTATTTCATCTTAAAGTTATTGAGAAAAATAATTTAATTGTCAGTGTATAAAGAAACATACGTGATCAGGTAATGCTTGTGGTATTCTAGTCCTAATGCCATGAGAAATTTGGGCTTGGTTCATCCTTACAAGATTAAGGAGGAAACAGTCATGACTCAAACTTTCAAGAAGGAAGATCTTTTAGACTAGTGTGGAGAGACACTTCCTTTCTGAGAGAACCCTGAATTACCCATACATGTTGAATATCGGACTAACCTAACACGCATCCTCAAGAATTGGTCGAGAAGGACAATTATGGACAGCTCACTGAAGCAGCCATAAAGAAAGCAAGGGTAATTTGGGGACACCTTTCTTGCAGACTTGTGTTTCTTTCAAATTCAACTGTGCAACCTGTAAGCCTCATCAGAACAGAGAAATCCCATGAATTTTTACAGAACAAACAACTAATTTTTTTCAGCAGCACCTAGATTTTGAAGTCTTTGAAAACCATATTTAAAGCATTTCAAGGATGGATTTTATGGTTATGATCTCAGACTAACACATCACAAAGGATATGTTAGTGCATATTAAGTTTATCCATAATGTTAGCAGTCACATATCAGATCTCGCATGAGATGCTAATTAGCACCTGAGAGGTGATAGCTATGAGGCAGTCTGAGGAGCTACAGCTGAAGTTGCTGACTGATGTGCACTGAAGCAAGCAGCTACAGCCATCTGCTAAGATGTTGCCTTTCCCCTGCTGTTTGTCCTGTCCCAGGGCTGGAAGTTACCACCCCCAAAGATACTAGAAAGCAATATTTGTCCAAGACTCTGTCACTGCAGTTCAAAACTGGCATCTAAGATAGTATGATTGACAGCAATACAGCTCTTTAGCTGCTTGGGTGAGCAACCATAAGCATAGAGATGACTAATTGGGGGTAATGGCATTGTAAAACACTCCAGGATGAGTTGCTAGAGTTTGTCTGTCACAGCTTTGGCTGTGTGAATACTTATTGCCTACTTCAAAGCTAAGTCACTGTCTGTCTTTGAACTATCACTTCTTCCTTTCATGTATGGTTGTGTAAGAATGCATTATGGGGTGTATCGCAGTATGCCTAGGTTAGAATATACCATTCATAAATTTTTCTGCTTAATACTCCATTTTGGATGCATTTAAGTCAAGTCCTAACAAACACTCTGGATCCTATGTAAATTCATCTTTGAGCAGTTCATAAAATCAAACCATACTTCACTACATTCCCCAAATCTCAGACTCTTTATACTGTAGGATGGATTTTAGAAGAATTATTTTAAATCCCCTCCTAATGTAATATGTTCATCTGAACACAGTTTTTTTCCTACTGTAAACCAGTGGCTTACAATCACTGGTGTGTATCTCACAGGTAGGAGAGGACATAGGCAGAGATGAGGTACAAGACCCGTCATACTGTCTTTCCCAACTTCCCTTCTTGTGCTGCTCAACAAAGAGAACACTTTCTTAGTGCCAGGCCTTGCAAGTGAGGGTGCAGAGTTGTCAAGTGGAGGAAAGAAGGTGCAACGATGGCTGGCTCTGTATATATACTACTGATGCATAAAACACTCTCTCATCTCTCACCTTTTCTAAAAGAAAAGAATTGCTCTTATGACTTAAATCATGTAGGCAAACAAAATAGAAAATAAGTAGTGCTTTAAAATGTTAATTGAATGCAAATTAGGTTCCAAATTAAACTTCAGGGAATGTTCATAAATGAAGAGTTAATGCTTTTCTTTATACATGGTGGTTTGCATAATAATCAAATAATCTATATTATTACATACTTCCACTACATGGACTTTTTCTGGTATGGAATATCAAAGTAGTTCATGATGGGTGAAAATACATTTAAATAACCTTTTTCATATATTTTTTTGGCTCAGTTTTGCTGTCACTATGGATATGTTCTGTCACTGAAGTAGTGCAAGCTTTTTCAGGATGGCAAAGGCAATAATATTTCAAACTATTCTGTACCATTTCTTTTACTTAAAATAGATGCACATAACCTTTGATACTCCTGTCTATCTGATTGTATTGATTCTTTTCATACTGTTCCTGTGTTTTTCATAGCATCATAAAAGTGGGCTTTGGTAAGCATAAAATATGAAGGTGGTTAAATCTAATTTGTGATCACGGAATTCACTTGCCAAAACTCCATCCTGTTACTGACACTTTGGACTACATGTTAATACGAGAGCATAAGCGTTTCTTGCCTGGGGAAGACACTATCTTCATGACGCTTACTGATTTATACCAAGTCTAATGTTACTTTACAAGGTGATGGTGCTAATCTTAGCTAAGACGAGGAAGTCCATCTACCAAATAACGAGTGAACTTTGCTGAAGGAGCAGATAATGTTCTTCTCCTTCCTTATAATAAATGTTTTAAAATAACTTTAATTCCAGATAAACATCTACATCCACTATGATTCATTCTTGGCTACAGATCACCAAATCGAAGGCTACCCATTTCCCTGAGATGAGAAGTCGCCTGTTCATAGTTCCTTTCATATCTCGACTGCCAGAGATTGATAATGCTGCTCCTGCCTTTTGCAAGGATCATGTCGATGGGATTATGCCCTAACATAGACCAGCTGGCAAAGCTACACTGACTCAAAAGGAACACAGGGGCAATGTTTGTGAAACACTGAGAAACTCCCTCCAAGGAGGAAATGCATGAGTTTGGTAATGATTTACAAGGAAAAAGAAGCCTGAAACAATTGGCAATCTTGATCATGAGTGCCAAAACCTGATTTTAAGCTTCCTGCTATCACCATGTGCTTTTGTTATGGCCCACACAGGCAGTTCAAGTGTCCCTAGTTTCTCCTGTATGGGCTTTAAGATTTATTTTTATTACAGCGTTAAGATTTCTTTTAAACTACAGTTTTATTTATGTACATGTCCAAAAATAAACTTTATGATGGGCAGGTCACTGTAAGAATCATGAACTGGTTGTCCATGGCCCGAGACTGAGAGAGATGAAACTTCAAACCCAAACATATCTTAAACTTTCTGAAAAGCTAATGTATTATGTCATCCTCCAGTCACACAGGGGTTTATTTCATACATTAAGACTGTTGATCATTTAGTTTGGCTGCATGAATAATATAAAATATAAACCTGCTGATTGCTACGCCTGCATTGCTTGCTTTCATACCAACTATAAAATTTCTTCTGGTCTTATTTTGGGACTTCAGGAGGCTGCAGCATCACTCACCGTCTGGTGCATTTTGCTTGTCAGTGAAAACAGTGGTGCTGTCTGAGCTACAGCAGTGTTTTAAACAGTCTGCACACACTCTTCAAAATCATTCAGTCTGGTGCCAACAC